GAAAATAGCATACAAGGCGTTAAGCACTATTTTGAAGGGAAGGGTGGTAAACACAAATAATTTCATAAAAAATAAATAAAAGAAATAGGAGAGAAAAAAAAATAAGATAAAGAAAAATGAAAGATGTTGTGTAGATCCACAACTTTGGAATATACAATTTACGGTCCCAAGACTAAGGGTCCATTTGACAATGTCGTTGGAAAAATTACAACAATGGAGAAACAAGGATGAATATGGAATCATCTAATAAATGAACTAAATGGCAAGACTTGAACACATTTTAAAAGCGTTGTCCTCAAACAATATTTGTCCCATCTCCAAATGCTTTTAAGGGTTTTCGACAAATAATTCGAAAGATTAATCAAGTCTTTCAAAGAAAACACCAAAGCACTAGTGTTCTTCCCATATGAACAAAAATGAAAACTGATGTTTGAATATGTAAAGGAAATTGTAATAATTTTTCAAAGATTGGATGAATTGAATTATGATTTCTTGTTCTTAGGGATGAATACTGGTCTCTATTTATAGTTTTCAATCATCCCACCACGAAATGATTCCAACCTTCCATGAAAAGGTGAAGCTTTTCGACCTGGCCACTAGATTTCAAATCCGAAAATCAGTCTAACGGCTATTTTCAATGCCCATGCAACTGCTTGGGTTGTTTCCATGTAGTCACATGGTGCAACCACTTTTGATCTCGAGTAAATTTAAGAGCTTTATGCGACTGCAAGCTCCATTTGCCAATGCAACCGCATAGGCAAAATGCAATTCCCCTAACTTTTGATTTTACAAATGCAAATTTTTGATTTTAGAATTCATTTCCAATTCATCCACACACTTGGTACATTTAAGTCCCAACTCCAAACATGATTTTGAACAAAAATATAAGAGGAACTTCTTGAAAAGTCAAAAGCTATATTTGAACTTATTTAGATAATGTACCCAAAGTTCTTTGTTTGAGGAATTGACTCAAAGTAACTTCCCTAGGAAACTCATGCTGTATTGACCCGACCTCATGTCCAAATCGTTATCCTACGTACTGCCTATTTTAAGAAAACTTAAACACATCTTACCTCTCATGAATTTTCATCTGCCCCCTCCTCTTCTGAGCCCGTGCTGGATCATTACACTTAAAGTGCAATGTCAACGACAGCTCTTATTGGTTATATGTTCCTTTGACACGTTGTATACTGTTACTCATCCATGTACTCAGGTACACGAGTATAAACTGACTTATTGCTATAATAAGAAATTGAAGAGGGACTTTTTTCACCTTTTTTTTTCCCTTTTTTTCTTTATATTTATTTTATAAGAATGTGGTATTTTTTAGAGGAATTGACTTAAAGTAATTTCCCTAGGAAACTCATGGTATATTGACCCGACCCCATGTCCAAATCGTTAACTTCCATACTGCCCATTTTAAGAGAACTTCAACACATCTTACCTCTCATGAATTTTCATATGCTCCCTCCTCTAAGCCCTTGCTAGATCATTACACTTTCAAAGTGCAATGTCAATGACTGCTCTTATGGGTTCTATGTTTCCTTTGATACGTTGTATACGATACTCATCCATGTACTCAGGTACACGAGTACAAACTGACTTATTGCTATAATAAGAATTTGAAGAGGGACTTTTTTCACCTTTTTTTTTCCTTTTTTTTTCTTTATAGTTAATTGATAAGAATATGGTATTTTTTTAGTTCAATCTTCTACATATACATTTTTACATACGAATGACATTCTTATAATCGACAAGTTTTTATACATTGATTTTAACAATATTTTAAACAATCAATGTCACAGATTTTGACTAACTCACAATGTCAACAACAATGTCATCCAGGAATGTAAATCTTAATTAATTCTTTTTAGTATAGAAAACGTTCGGACATAATTTTTTTTCACTATGACTAGTTACAACTATAATGAAATGTTGAGAACAAAATTGCTTTTTAAAATATGAAAGACTAATTTATGATTTTACCTGTTCTCCTTATATAAATTTATATACAATGTGAATGGAAAATATAAGCCTCTTTTCGTAAGGCCTAAATGAATAGTAATAGCT